CCTTGTCTCATAGCTTTGGTCCTCCATCCCCTCCCCCTTGTCTCATAGCTTTGGTCCTCCATCCCCTCCCCCTTGTCTCATAGCTTTGGTCCTCCATCCCCTCCCCCTTGTCTCATAGCTTTGGTCCTCCATCCCCTCCCCCTTGTCTCATAGCTTTGGTCCTCCATCCCCTCCCCCTTGTCTCATAGCTTTGGTCCTCCATCCCCTCCCCCTTGTCTCATAGCTTTGGTCCTCCATCCCCTCCCCCTTGTCTCATAGCTTTGGTCCTCCAGCCCCTTAATTCGTTTTGTTGCCCTTCTCTGGACTCTCTTCAGGTCCACGACATCCTTTCTGTGGATAGGTGACCAAAACTGAACCACATTAGGCAACAGTATGGTGACTCCAAAATATTGTGTTTCTTCTGTGTGACAAATAGAGACTCATTTTGAGCAGTGTGGTGTGCTCTCTGTTTCTCCCCGGTGGGGACAGTGTAGAATATTTAGTCAGGCTTGAAGGGTTTTAATCCCCTCTCCACTCTTTTTGTGTATTGCTACAACAGCCTGTTTTACTTATTCATTTATTATGTTTTGCTATTTTCCTTTACACCCCCCTGTGTATAGTATTAGCTAGTTCAGCCCTTAGCTAGGCTTCCTCAGCATGCAGCCAGTTAGTATAATTCTTATTCATGTAGAGTAAGGAAGATTTATGACAAGAATGCCTTTTTGGCACACGAGAATTGTCAGAAAAACACCACATACGGGACTCTACCGAGTCTTCTTGGTGAGTTAACACTGCCTGTGGATTTTGTCGATTCAGCAAGCTACCATCCTGCCCATACAGACTGGGTCTTGGGTGGCTTTCATGTTGCACACAGTAACCTTTGAGACTGAACACCTTTACCAATTCAAAAGAAAAAAACAATGTTAGCTAATGCAGATGTCAATAATACCGTACAGTCTTCAATGTTCTTCTGAAGCAGCTTGATGATCATCCCTTCCTTGGTCTTCAGGACATTGTCTCCTATCACCGGTACCTGTATCTTCTTACTATCTTCCACTCTTATGTCATGCTGGATCGCTGGTGCTTTGGGTGGAATGATGTTAGTTTGGTTACCAAATTTGTCTTTAGTAACTTCGCAGAAAATCCTCACAGTTTCCTCACTCGTGTCCACAAGATGTATTCTCCGCAGGGTGGTCTGCTGGTTCTCCACGTAGATCCGTACAGCTTCCACTATATGTTCAATGCATAACTTTAGAGGGAAAGCAAAAATACCGGAGCTGACTGCTGGGATCGCTATGGAACGGTGGTTGTTCTCAGCAGCCAGCTGCAAACTGGTGGTGATGGCCCTCCTTAGAAGACGTTCACAAAATGAGCGCAAACGCGCAGACCACCGGGGACCGACGGTATGTATGACCTGTTTGCATGGCAAGTTACCCGCGTCAGTGATTACCGAGTCTCCAGGGGACACTCTGCCATTCTTCCTGATGATACGGTCACAGTCGTCCTGCAGCTTATGTCCAGCTGCTTTCAAAATGGCATTGGCCAGGCCCCCCATGTGTTGTAGGTCTTCATTGGCTGCATTAACAATGACATCTACGTTATGACGGCACAGGTCACCTTTGTAGACGGAGATGATCAACCCATTTGGAAGTGTAACTTGGTATTTGGCATCACCCGGTACAAAGTCTTTAATAGTAGCCTCCTGTAAATGTATTGCGCAGTTAAATTCTTCCTTGGCAGCTGCAACGTGAACCTTTTCATTCATTACACAAAATGTCTTGGCTCCTGGTTTATCGATGAGCAGGGTATCGCAATGAAGTGAGGACAGAAAGTTCTTAATGAGCAACGCTGCCTCCTGAACATGCACCCTCGGGCCTGACGAGCAAATCCTGTCCCCAATCTTTGTCACGTTTACTTTTTTCGACATCTTCCCCCAAATGTCCTTCCTTCTGTCCTCAATGAACTGCATCATTACCTTGGACTTGACTGGAACACCTACTCGTATTGTGGAATTATTCTTCAGAAAGTCACTGACTTTTTGGTGGCACTTTTGTACATTTGAAGTCAGACCCGTGATGACCACATCATTCTGGGCCCCGGGAGGACATTTCAGTATGAGAACTGTGCACTTCCCTGCATTTAAGGTCGTGTTCATGTGTGAGAGTAGACTTCTCCACTCGGGACTTCCCAGGAGACCCTTCTCTTCAACAAAGATGGACACGCACGTCAGTCCTTGTTTCAATTGTTTTTCAGCCTCCTTCAAGACCTCCTCGGAGTAAGCAGTCAGTTTAACAACATTATCATCAGTTTCCAGCAGAGCATTAATGTTGTGTTGTGCAAAGAGGAGACAGGACAGTTTTTCATCACTAGTCAACACCAGAAACTGGACAAGGTGTGGACTTCCCTTGAAGCATTTGGATTTAATTTGTTGCTGAACGTTGTATAGCTCACGTTTGGCAGTGAGAACTTCATATCTCAATCCTGATATCCGAATCGTCTTTGTGCATCGTAAACAGTCTTCAGCTCCGGGACTTGCTCCATCATCTGCTTCTCTAGGCCGCTCATACACATTATCTGATATTGGGCCGGGGACATGGGTACCACCTCAGTCAGACTTTGATTCTTTTTTTCTATCCGTCTAGTAGTTTCCTCTACCAGGTTTCTAAATGTTGGATTAACCTCAGTTACCCTCTTGGACTTTCCAACAAGGTAAACCTTCCCTGCAGCCAGATCAGTTTTGACCTGTACTCCGTTATTCATGAAGCTGGTAATTGTTTCTCTGATGGCCTCCCAGACCACATGGTTGATTTTGTACTGCACAATTTTGTACATTGGGACAACCTTTGTCATGATACTTCGATTGGAAGACATTCTGGGAGGAAATATGAGTTTGAAGATGGGACATGGGCAGCCTTCCTCTGGCCATATGACCTCATATTGTTGGCTTATCTCCTTCTTGTTTATGATGTCCTTTACCTTTTTATCAGCCCAACTACTTGGGCTGATACTGAACTCTAGAGTTGAAGGTCTTCCCACACAAGCTTCCTTATTCCCATACTGCATTGCGGGAAATTAGTTCTTTCTCTTGGGAAGCCCATTTGTTTTTTTCAGAACTCCTTTAACAACTGAAAAGAGAGGAAGGTAGAGATTCAAGGTAATGACACAGTAAGAACACACGTTACAGTGTATATACCCCTGTCAGGTTATGTTTTGCTGTATGAGTCCTGTTGGGGACATTTCCATTCACTTCCTGTCCCACAGGTGCAACAGGTAATGGAAATCTCTACATAGTAAGGGAAATTTCCTTATCAGACACTTGTCACCAGAACAAAACAGACTCTATTGGAGGACTTCTCCTCACCTCTTGTTCTGGTGACCCCCCCCACCCAGCCCAAGGTTTTATGACTCAAGCATGCTCATTCAACAATATGTTGGTTTCACAGGGTGGTAGTCAGTATCAGCAGTCACAAGGTAGCTGATGCACTACCTCATATTAAAAGTGCCCGGGCTAGCAGCACCATTATCTTGGCTAATGCCCCTAGACCTCATCAGCAATGGAAGGAGGATTTGCCCCTCTTTTATTGGACTCAATGTTGCTGCTGTCTGAGTTGGACACCAAGCCTGCTGAACACCCTATGTCGGGTCTCAGCCCGTATTCCGGGCCCAAGACGCACTCCCGCAGGTGTCACACGCCTCCGTGCGACGCAGCGGCCCGGCGAGGCACGCCCACGTGCGTCATGACGCACGCCCAGTGATGTCACGCGTGCTATATAAGCAGGCTCAGCAGGCTCAACCATTGCTGAGTGATCTTCAGCCAGTGACCAGTGCCTGTTTGTTCTGATTCCTGGATTCTGCTATTCGATTGACCCGGCTTGTTCCTGACCATCCTCTGCTATAGAGCCCCAAGGCCCTGGTACGTCCGCACCGCCTGCACCGGCCACTGGGCGGTAGTTCCGCCACTGCTCTGACCAATCCCTGAGCAGCGTGACTCAGAGGTATGGCTGGAGGAAGGTGATTAAAGGTCTGGGGACACCTTCCAGAACTCTCTCTCTCCCCTGGGAGGAGGTCTGTGTGCTACAGGATGCCTGGCCTAGACCTCAGCATGAGGCAGATGCTGGGGGTCCATTGGCCTTAAATTCTGCTGGAAAGGAACCTGATGGAAGCCGGGCTGGAGGTGGAATCTGCTTATGGAGGAGTGTCGCAGAGGAGCTGGTGAGAGCTGCCATCTGGACCCTGTAAGTGACCCCTCAACCTATTCCCAGGTACTGTACTGAAGAGAAGCCAGTCGGTGCACCACAAGTCCTCTGACAGTTCTCTCTCCAAGCCCTGGACTGTTCCTGGCTGTTCTCTGGTGTCACTACATACCCTGTTTCCCCGAAAATAAGACCTAGTACTATTTTTGGGAATTGCTAAAATATAAGACCTACCCCGAAAATAAGACCTAGTTGTGACTGATCCCTGGGCCGGTGGTGGCAAAAGGGGGAATTTGAAGAGCCGCAGGAGAGAATCAGCGGTGCCAGCGCTAGAGGAAGCGAGGTGGCAGCGGAGGGAGCAAAGCCGCATAAGCCGATGCTTCCCCTATAGTGTAATCTCCTGTCACAGGCGGAGTGATACCAAATGTACTCCGCCTGTGAGTAATCAATAGTGAAAGCGCGCTTCACTCATTCTGGCCAGCGATGGTTAACAAATTGCTCTTGGAAAGGTACGACACACCTGATTGCCCTGATCACCATATTCTTAACTTTGACACTGTCTTGTAAATCTTCTACCGGTAATAACTTTGGATTGTTGTACATTTAAAAAAAATAAGACCTAGTGCGTTATTTTGAGCCAAAAAAAATATAAGACAGTGTCTTATTTTCGGGGAAACACGGTATTACTGATGGAGGACGTTGGGGGAGCCGCACACCTCACAGCAGTCCTGACCAAATAAGAGAAGATGGTCCTCGCAGTGATATTGGTTGAAATTGACATGTCATGTTTTCTGCCTTGAGGAAGGGACCCTGCGCGGCCCCGAAACGTCGGTTCTTTTTGGATTTCTATGACGCTTTTGTCCAATAAAAAGGACATATTTGCTTTCATTATTGAGTGCTGGTGATTCCCTGCTTGTTCTTTTACTACATATTACTGGTCGCTCTCACAGGACGGTTGTGCCATTGCTAAAGGTGAAGACAGAGTCCTCTATTTTTGATTACTCTGGAATCCTACAACCAGGGGCGTAACTAGAAATCACAGGGCCCCATAGCAAAATTTTGTATGGGGCACCCGTGATTGTTGGTTATGCCACTTGCAGAGCCCCAGCGGAGAGTGACCCTGCAGAGTCCGTCATAGACTCTCTATAGTGGGCTCTGCAGGGTCTGAGATCTCTTACCTGTCAGCGCCTCTGTGCTCGCCGGGCCCCGACTCCTGTTCCGTCCCCGGGCCCCGCCTCCTCTGCTATCGACGGGCCCCGCCTTCTCTTACATCACTGGCCCCACCTGCTCTTAGGTCGCTGGCCGGTGATGTAAGAGGTGGCGGGCCCCGCCTCCTCCTTCTTTCCGAACACCGCCCTCATCTGCCGCAGCGGCTGGCTGTCACTGACACAACTCCGCAGCGGCTTTGAAGGGAAATATGTCGTGGCCGCTGCTGAGCTGTGTCTGTGACAGCCAGCACCCCCACATGCCATAGCGACCCAGGCGGCCCTGGCCGGGCCCCCCTGTGCCCGGGCCCTATAGCGGCCCCTGGGTCGTTATGGCGATTGTTATGCCACTGCCAGCAACCCCAGTGCTCTCTCCTAGTTGCTAATGTGCAATAAATGCTTAAAAGACCCCACGACTCGAGCTTGTTTCTATTCTGGAGTGTCGGTGTTGCTGGAGCTGAGAAAAAGGGGCCGGTGGCAGGCAAAACAGGTAGGAGAGCCATAGTTACTAACCAGCGGCTCCTTCGGGGTGAGCGCTACACCATTCACACCGTGTCATGTCTTCCCCTTCTCTAATAAAATTCTCAGACTTATCATTACCGGAGGACACATAGATCTGGTGCACATGGACTGGTCTCTGGACCCAGAGCTGACAATGCCCTCACCATAGACCCCTCCCATCTAAAGGCATTTATAGTGATATTGTATGTATGTATAGTGTACAGTCACTATATGATCTTGCTGGTCTCCCCAAAACTATGGCCATGAATATGGAGTGCCCCCCTCCCTCCCCCCCCGTCTTTGCAGCTATAACATTTTCCACTCCTCTAGGAATGGCTTTCCACCAGATTTTGGGGGGTGTCTGTGGGAAATTGTCCCATTAGTGAGGTCAGGTGCTGATGTTGGATGAGAAGACCCGGGCTCACAATCGGCATTTCAATTCATCCCAGAGGTGGTCAGTAGGGTTGAGGTCGGGGCTCTGTGAAGGACACTCGAGTTCCTCCACCAACCTGGTCACACCGTGTCTCTATGGAGCTTTGTACACGGGGGACAGTCATGGTGGAACAGAAAAGGGTCTTCACCAAACTGTGACCACAAGGCTGGAGGAGGACAATTGTCTACAATGTCTTTGTATGATGGAGGATGAACAGGAACTTTCATTGGAGACACCTGACCTCCATCATTTGGAGGGGGAGTCCTGACACTTTTGGGTATAGTGTATGTAAATGGGGGAAACTATTTAATTGTTCCTCATATACTCAAGCTTCCCACTCTGCAGGGCAATGCTTTGCTTTATTTCTGCTTCTCACTATGTGAGTCTATAAGTTGGCTGATTTATTTAAAGTGAGGCACTCCCTGTGTAGCTGACATTGTATACGAACAGAAAGGAGGGTGTGTGAGCTTGCATCAATTACAGAACTTCCCCTAGTGGATAATGTACAGAGGTCTATATTTAAAGTGGAAGATTTGTTGCCTTATGAGGAACACATACAAGAGTTAAAGGAGAACTATGAGGGGGAGGGGCGGGTGCTTTTCACTCACCTCATAGTTCTAGCTACAATGAGACTGTCACGGGTCGGCTCAGTAGATCGGGAGGTGAGCGAACACATACCGGCGTTCGCTCACCTCTCGATCCTGTCACGGCTCTCTGAGGGGCTGGATTCCCCCCTCCCCGCTCCGATCCGCCAGCGCTGACTGGCTGCTCGGACACGGGAGGGGGCGGGTACAGCTGCCTTTGCCTCTAAAAAGGAGGAGCTAGCTGTCAGTCACGCAGCTGGGCGGATCCCGGCACAATTGTCGGGATCCGCTTCAGCTGCGGCGTCTAAGTATACCGCAAGCTACAGCTCCCTATATACTGAGCCTAGGATGACGGGAGGACGCTAGTTTGTGTCCTCCTGTTACCCTAAGGAGAACTATGGGGAACTATGCCGTACCCTGAAATATCACCTTTTGTTTGAATCATCACATATTCCACCCTCTCCAGAAATGGGACGTCTTCCTGAGCACTGTAGTCATAGTTAGTGATGTCACTACTGACCTAGCTGCTCACTGTTCTCCTTACTGGAGGGAAAGCTGTACCGGAGGACCTGCAGTGCACGAATCTCCCTGCCACACAAGATGAACAGCATGGTGTATGCAGGTCCAGTGCGGGGAGGAGCGCTCAGAATTGTATGTCGGTGAAACAAAACAGCAGCTACACCAGCGTATGGCACAGCGTAGAGGAACCAAACCCTCTGGTCAGGATTCACCAGTGTACCTACATCTAAAGGAGAAAGGTCACTCCTCTGAAGACAGCCAAGTACACATCCTAGACAGGGAGGAGGACTGGTGTAAAAGAGGTGTGAAAGAGGCCATTGATGTAACAATGGAGAAGCCAAGCTTGAATAGTGGGGGGAGGGGGGTGAGACATCTATTGTCTGTTACATACCATGCTGTATAACACGTCTCTCTCGGCAGGTTAATAACACCTCCCAGACTCCAATGATGCAAATTCAATCAACACCTGGCTGCCACTAACAGATTATGTGGATTGGAGCGACATTCCCCGTATTTACTCCCAGATAATTTTTGATACAAGTCATTCTGGATTGAGAAAGCTGGTCGGATGATCAGTGAAACGTCTTCAAGAAAAATACAGCCAGTCCAGTCGCCTTGACCTATTTTTTAAAGATTCTCCCTGCTTCTGCCTTCATTCTGTGAATCTGTGCTTTCTTTACCTCCACCCCTACACCTTTACCTCCCCCAGCAGTCGCCAGTCATCAGGGGGTCAGTTCTGATATGAAGAACCACACTGTGGCTCTACCAACATGGACACCGCAGGAAATTCTGGTGACTAGTCATTTGCCTATGGCTTACCCTTTATAGGGGGCATCCCATAGGACTTCCCCATTGAAGCCCCCTGTTAGTTGCTCCTCCTTTTTGGTCTTCTCCTGGCAGTGGGCAGTCCTGGATGATGCCAGACAGTGATGCTGACAAAGTAACATCATCATCATTCTCTGCATGAAATACACTGTGAGCACAGGGAGGGTGTGTTGCTCAGAGGATGGGGTGACCATGTTTTTATAACCGCTCAGGCCCCCCACAGGTTTACCTGGTTGTGGATCACAGCTGCAGAGATGGTAGTTAGTGGTTGGAAACACAGCGTAGCAGTATAGAAGCAGTCTTTTGAGTAAGCAGCCAATAAGCTAGCAAGTAATCCTGAGGTTTATGAATGAAACCAGTCCTTGATCGATAAGTGCAACAATTGAGCAACAGTCTTATGATTAATATACAGGTATTTGTTATGCAACAGTTTATGATTAAAGGAGAACTATGAGGTCAGGGCTTTTCCCCATAGTTCTCCTCGGGGTAACGGGAGGACACAAACTAGCGTCCTCCCGTCACCCTAAGCTCAGTATATAGGGAGCTACAGCTCGCGGTATACTGAGACGCCGCATCCGGAGCGGATCCCGACTGCGTGAGTGACAGCTGGCTCCTCCTATCTAGTGGTACCCGCCCCCTCCCGCCTCCGTTCCGCCAGTCAGCGCTGGAGGATCGGAGCGGGGAGAGGGGGAATCCAGTCACTCCCCTGTCACGGCAGAGAGCCGGCACAGGATCGAGAGGTGAGTGAACGCCGGTATGTGTTCCCTCACCTCCCGATCTACTGAGCCGACCTGTGACAGTCTCATTGTCACAGGTCGGCTAGAACTATGAGGTGAGTGAAAAGCCCTCACCTCATAGTTCTCCTTTAAGTCTACTTGCTGTTGTGGAGATGATTGCTGGAATGGGATTGGTGCCCTCTGGTGGAGCTTAGGGGAACGGCAGTCCCAGCTCAGGTAATCCGGCTCCCAGACTGGGCTGCAAGGTCCCTTGGAAGGAGCAGGTTGTCCCAGAGGATGGTGGAAGTCCTGTGCATGCAGGGCTTAGGGTTGGAGTGGAGATGGGGCTCTGACCGGCCCAATAGCAGTGGGGAGTTCGAGGTAGACTGACGGAGGGACTTGCCTGGCATCTACACGCTTGCATGAACGCCAGGCAAGTGCATCCGTTGGCCGCGCCAGAACCGGAGGTCAGGTAAGCCCGTTACAGTTTTGCGCTCAAAGTCTTTCCCCAGTCTACTGAGTTGAGTGACTCTGGGTGTTACTCAACCCGGAAGACTTGGCATTCTCTTCAGCCATCTTTGTGAACTAGGCACCGCTAGGAGATAGTACAGTCAAGCCTTTGGATGGAGGATGTCCCAGCCAAAAGCTTGACTGGGGGGTAAGTGATACACAAGGTAGTTAGTGCGTGGGTATGGGTTATTTAGGAAGTTCAGTTGTTAGGTAGAGGTGGCATAGACATCCATGGAGAGATGAGTTTTCAGGGATCACCTAAAGGGGGACAGAGAAGGAGATAGCTGGACAGGTTAGGGTAGGGAGTACCAGAGGATGAGAGAGGCTCTGGAGAAGTCCTGGAATCAGGCATGAAAGGAGGTGAGGAGGCAGCTAGAGAGCCGGAGGTCTTGGGAGGAGCAGGGAGGACAGTTTGGGTGATATTCGGAGATGGGGTTGGTCATGTTGCTCGGGGACAGAGTTGTAGATGGCTTTGTATGTTGTTAGTATTTTGAATAGAATGAAGGTGGGGGAGGGGTCTCTGTAGGCCAATACGGAGGAAGTTGCAACGGTTGGGGTGAGAGATATGAAGAGAGTGAATAATATATAATAATATACAGGAAGGGAAATCCTTTGGCAGGTTACACAGCCGCCGTGTATGTATTTGGTGTATATAGCTGTCTGCCGGGGGGGTCAGGTGACAATCATGTGACGCGTCTGAATACCTGTGCAGGTGGAATTCAATGATGACACTTCCAGGAATAAGAAACAAACCGCAGAAAACAGGAAAGTGACTGTGGTGGGAGTTTCGGTCTCTGAATAGAACACCATTTCTCTTCTCTCCAGTTATTCCATATGTTCTGCCCCCCCCCCCCCCCTCCCCCGCGGGACAAGGCGGGGGGAATA